CTGTGACCTAAGGAGAGAGGAGAGATCCCTGTTGCTGTTGAGAGGCCCTGGGTTTGCTGTGCCCATGCAGCGTGTGTGGCCTTCACAATGGTCTGGCGCTGGAAGGGAGATGATCCACGGTGAAACAGAGACATGTTGGGATCAAAGGGGATGGATATGGTCTCCAGCACTGTTTCTTTTGGTATCTTCCATTGAGCTGTGGTGCTGATGCAGGGATTTATTCTGTGAATAAAGTACAAATGGAGAACTACATGGTCACTCTTTTGCCCCCTTTTAGCCTCTCTGCCAAGCTCAGCAGTGTGCACAGTAGCTGAAAGAAGTGTGAGAGCAGCCATATATTCCCTGTGACATCTCCACAACCACCTGCTGGCCCACAGGCAGGAGAAAGGCAGGAGAACCATGTCTCGAAGAGATTCACCAGCAGAAAACTTCTGCTGACAGTTCACCAGAGACCCTGCTAAACCAGAGAGCTGCCTGGATCACCTTCCACAGAGCTCTTGTAGGTCATGTCTTGTGGGCACTCACTCAAGGATACCTCCTCCTTCCTCATCTCTTACCATGGGAATAGGCTCCAACTTGCCCTTCTTCCTCCTGGGATGCTCTAGGTTCTGCAGCTGCACAACTCTCTGGGAAAGAGCAGAACAAGAGCTCCAGAGAAAGAAAAAGTTCCCAACTCATTTGGTATTTCCACAGATTGACTGATTGCTGCCAGGCTGTTCTCTCTCTATGGCACATATTGGGGCTCACATCACACACAAACTGAAGTGGGATACTGGAATAAAGGAGTCCCCTGGAGAAGACTCCAGGCAACAGGGAGACAGGCCCAGCAACCTGTGCAGCATCCTTGGGTACTATGGCATTTCCCATAGTGATAAGACTTCAGAGGAAGATTATATCTAGGTACTGATTCAGCTTTCATCTCTGCCAGCATTTCTCAGTCATCCATTTCAAAGTGTTTTGCCAGCACTAATTAAGCCCCACAGCACCTCTGTGGAGGGGATCACCATCCCTGTGTACCAACAGGGGGACTGAATGGAGAAGACAAGTAGCCCCTTCATGAAAACACGAAGGGAGCAAAGAAATGACAACATCCTGAAATCCCAATCCTGCATCCTAACAAAATCACAAATCCCCAAATCTCAGACATTCTGCTGGAAAGATAAGCAGCCACCTGCCATTCTTACCATGCTAGCTGCCTGGCTTTCTCAGCTGGGCACCAAACATAATCCCAAAAACTGGGGTGCCCTGAAGCACCCTTACCCCTAAGGAGCTGCAGGGATGGTCAGCTGCACAGCCTGTTCCTTGCAGGCAGATTTTCCCATGATGTTGCACATGCTATTTATTCCATTCACTAACCAAGTTAATGGTGGCTAAGAATAGACCCCAGATGTCCTTCTGGCCTTAAAAACTTCTTTGCCCTAAAGGAAATGCAAAGCCTAAGTAGCTCATGGCATGTGTGGGACACAAGTAATGAACCAAGATATGAAGAGCTTGCACATTTCCAAGAATTCACAAAATACATCTCTGCTTTAAATAACCTCTGTTCTGCTTTTCGGAAATAAGTGGTTAGCAAGGATAGTTCAGAGCAATGGATGTACAAATGTTTCATTCATTGATATAGAGGTTGTGCCAGTCAGAGCCAGAGATGTTCAAATGTCTTCAGTTTCTGTTATCTATTTCTGTGATGTTTCCAGTGTGACAAATTCACAATTCTGTAATAAACTGGTGTTTCTGAACAAAGACCACTTCATGTCAAGCCTTTAGAAAATATGCATCTTTAGTACAATTTACTCCTGAATTAATTTTTTTTTGTAATAGAAATTATTCTGTAGTGCCTTTTTTATACCTACTCCTCAATACATTTGGGAAATATCCCAAAATATACTAAAAAAGCATTATGGTTTTCTGCATCACTGCTAGAAATCAAAGCATTCATGTGCAGAATAAAGAAAAATTTCTTTCTGTATAAGCATTTTTCTTCTGTTGCCTGAATCCAGTCTCTTGATAATCAGCAATTACAGAAAAGAATTATAACAATCAAATGGGAGTTTGCACTTATAGAAATTCAAGCTATTTTTTGCATGAGTTATTCAGACAGAGAAAACTGTTTGGAAATTTATCAGTAAATGAAAGAAACTGCTATTTCTGAAAACTGAAATTGTATTAATAGAGATTCTAAGGGGTCTAAAGAGGAACAGAATCCATTTGGAACCAATTTGGTCTTCTCAGAAACAGGAAAGGTTAAACAAGGGGATTTAAGGAGCTTTCCTCTATGAAAACATATTGTTTTTTACTAACTAATATTCTATCAAATCCTCTATAGAATTCTATGGTATTTCAGAAGGTGACATTTGGGGTTCCATAGCATTTTTAACTTGGGCAACTTTTAGTAAATGGCAGTTTGTTCACCCATCCCGCACATACTTTCCAAACTCTGACTGCTCACACCTTGCAAAAAGACGGAGCGAGGCAGAGACTGTGAAATTATAAATTGTGGTCATTCCACAAACAGGAACCCCAGCTCCCATTTCCTCCACCCTCTGCTGACAGACGTAGGGTTAAATACCCAATTCCCAGGCCTGAAATAAGGGGGAATGCAATAGTGAACGGAGAACCCAGCGAGGCAGGGAGACCTCTCACAGCAGAGCAGTTTTGTTCCTTTTAGAGGGAGATCCAAACCCACATCTGGGAACAGCAGCCGTGTCCCGGGCGGGGCTGTGCTGCTGGAAGGTGTCCCTGGAGCTGGGACCATTCCAAGGCCAGCGGCCCGCGGTTCCCCGCTCGTTGGCGCGGCCGGGAGCGCGCGTTTCCATGGCAGCGCTGCGGGGACGCGCTCCGAGCGCCGCATCCGCAGAGCCGCGGGGAGCGCTCCGGTGAGAGCCCGGGGCACCCACACCTCTGCCCCCACACCCGACACGCGGCCGCAGATTTGGCTTTTCCCTTTGTTCTGCGGGGGTTTGTTTTGTTGGGTTTTTCCTTTTCTTTTGAGGGGGTTTGTTTTGTTGGGTTTCCGTGGTTGGTTGGGGTTCTTTTGTTTGGGTTTTTGCTTGGTTGATTGGTTTTTGGGGGTTTGGTTCTGTTTTGTTGTTGGTTTTTTTGTTTGTTTCTGGGCTTTTTGTTTGTTTGGTGGGGTTATTTTTTGGTTCTGTTTTGTTTTTTGCTCAGCAGCCTGACGTTAGGGAAAAGCACTGAATAAAGGTTTCAGTGAATTAAAATCATGAATGCCTAATCTATTGATTCACGTACTACTGGTACCCAGCTACTGGAACATAATGTCAGAAGCAGCGAAATATATGCCAAATTATTCTAGCAATGAAGCATTTTTTATTTGCTTTATTCAGCTTAATAATTATAAATTAGCAGAGCTAGTGCTTCTGTAGCTTTTGGCATTATTTCCAAAGTGCTGTGCAAACAACCTATAAAAAACCCAGCAACCTCAAACAAAAAATTACCTTAATAAAATGAATATTTATAAGTTAATTATAGACACAGTTTCCTATATTTAGCTAAAATTATATTATAAAGCACTTTCTATCTCTGAGGGTTGCACTGACAATTATTTTCCATATACCAGTGTCTAGTCCTGCTTTTCAGACTCATTGCCTGTAGGAGGAATTTAAATCAACCATAGGAACAAGAAAATTCTTATGAGAAAGGTTTTAGATTACAGAAATCGGGGTGTGCACTGAGGGCTGAAGCTCCAGGTGTTTGCTGCAACTGCTCTGCAAGATTCACAAACTGTAATTCAACTGCCTGCTCACCCCTGCCCTGCTGGGGCTTTCTCCAAAACTCACATCGGCAGCAGGGGTGATGTTGTTCCAGGACATAGATGAGAGATGCCTAGAGAAAAATATCCCCTTACATTAAGCAAAGGTCACAGAGGTTTGAACTCCTTAGAGTCAAGGAGGTTCTTGGTAAAATGTACCTCAAGAACTGAAAAGGAGAGAGAAAATATTTGGGATATATTCAAAAGCTTAAATTCTACCTCAGCCTCTGTGTCTCAGCAGTGAAAGTTTGACACCTCCAAAGAATAAGGTACTAATTGGGCAGCTGCAGAGAAAACACCAAGGACAGACATGGAAATTAGGCCAGATGAGTTTAGCAAAAAATACATAAAAACTGGAGGCTGTTTAGAGCAAAAAACTGATGCTCTAAAATAGCCTAAAAGTAGTGCAAGCAGAAGAGGATATTTTCTACAGCGTCTTATAGCAGTGCAGATCAGGAATGGTGCCAGCAGCAGAATTGCATCAATTGAACTAATACCTCGCTGAGCCCAGCTTGCTGCCTTTGGTGATTAAAGGATAGCTTTAACAATGGTCTATCTGTTCTTTGTAAGTGAGATCATTCCAATTATGCCTTGTCCCTTAGGATCCATAGCAAAAACTACAAAAAGACTGGAGTCAGAGAAACAAAAAAATAACCTTCAACAGTTTGCCAACCTAAAATGAAAGGCAACAGAGCTCTGTAAAGTGTGTCTGTGCTGTCCAACAATCATTCAGGCTTATTGCAAGAAATCCACAATGCTGAAGCAATTACTGGGAAGAGCTTTAGTGAGTAAAAATGTAGCTTGTGAACTAGTGACAGGAGGATGAAAAACATGGGTGTGGATCAGAACTGGTGACTGGGTGGAAAAAGAGACAAGGGACTTGGGTAGCTTGCTCTCTCCAAATTTGTTTTTTTGTTGCTTTCCCATCAGTTTACGTGTAAGGGGGCTGCGTTTCACACAGCCTACATGTAAGGCAGGGATGAACATCTTTTGGAGGTCAGAACATATATGTTTTCCAGTTTAGTGGAGCTCTTTGTGAATTACTACAGACACTAAAGGCTCAGTGGCTAAGATACAGAAAGCCCCTAGGCCTATCACTGCTGTGAAACTTATCACTTCAATTACTGGCAGATGCCAGATGACTGATTTGTTTATGATTTTCTTTGGGCCAGGGTCAAAGACACCATCGTGACATACAACAGCAACATCTAAAAGTCTCTCTTCCAAACTTGAAATGGAAAGCCACCTTACGCTGTCAGGTAAGGACACAATGCTCCAGCAATGTTTCCTTGTCAGGTGAGGGGCCTGAAGTCAGGTTCTTCTGCCCCAAAACAGATGAAATGGGTAAAACAGCTACAGACTTACAAAAATCCCAGGCTGAAATGCTGTTGTTGATCACCAGATATGGTCAAATGACATAAACCATTCAGAGGTCTCACTTTTATCACTGGCTTCTCAGAGGCCCCATCCAGCTCCCTGCCCTTGATCCAGCATTGTTAGACATCTGCAGCTGGGAGCACTGCCCACACTCCAGGTGTGACACAGCACATCCCACTCCCTTTGCACCGGGTCCAGAAATTCAGCTTCACATCTTCTACATCTTCATCCTGGGGTTTTTTCTGGGTTTTTGTTTGGTTTTTTTTTTGTTTTTTTTTTTTTGTTTTTTCTCTAGAAGGCACAGAAGAGGATGAAGAAAACCCAATGAAAAATCCATTTAAAGTCCCACCAGATGCTGAATTTTTCTCAATGAGGGACAAGGACATTAAGAAGGCAGAAGTGGTATGTACACATGCTTTAGGCTAAACTATGTAACAAGCAGTTACTGAGGCAGGCACCCACCCAACAGAATACCAAAATTTAGCACATGAGAGATCAAAGATGAGAAAGCTGTGGATGTTCAGCCTGGAGAAGAGAATGCTCTGGGGAGACCTGATTGTGACCTTTCAATACTTAAAATGTGCTTATAAAAAAAGAGCAACTTTTTACACAAGCAGATTGTGATAGAACAAGGAGAAGTGGATTTAAACTAAAATAGGAAAGATTTAGATTAGATGTTAGGAAGAAATTCTTTACTGTGAGAGTGGTGAGACACTAGCACAGGTTGCTCAAGGATGTTATGGATGCCCCATCCCTGGAACTGTTCAAGGCCAGGTTGGGCAAGGCTCTGAGCAGCCTGATCTATTCATGGCAGGGGGTTGGAACTAAATGATCCCTAAGGTTCCAACCCTTTCTGTGATTCTGTGATCTCTGAGAGGTCAGATTGTTGCACAGGGTGCACAGCACACACATGGTGTGGAAGGAAGCAAGAAGTCTAAAGCAAGACTTCACCTCACACTGGTGACTGATACAGTCTGGTTTTAGCTTGGGTTGAAGGTCACTGTACAATTATGGGGAAAAGCTTAGGAAGCAGTGCACTAAGAACATCTGCTGGGTGATGTCCTCAACATAAACCAGGCCCAAACTCTGCAGACAGCACTGAATTACACTTCAGTCCATGTGAAAGAACTGAGCAGGAACACCTTTTACCCTCCAGAAGGTTCTGGTGTGGGTTTGAATAGATCCTCTCAATCTGAACTTAATGGTTTAAAATGTCTTTGTAAAAGTTGGATTGAGTTAGTTAAATGTGAGCTGTCCCCCTTTAACCAGGGGACTCAAAGGATGAATCTCAGAAAATTTCCATTTGCTCACAGGAATAACCCAAGAAGGAAAAATGAGGGCACTCAGTGGGTACATACTGGCACAGCTGGTAGATGGGTGCAGAATACAAATCAACAAAACAATGACAGCAAGTGCTAAGAAATTTAGTGTTTCAGTTGCCTCAAGAGGGAATATTATTTGGATTAGTCACATAAACCAGGCAAATATGCATCAGCAGGGTATCACCACTCTGCAGATTTCTAGGCTGTCAATAACTAATTCATGTCTTTAAAAACCAGAGCAAACAAAGCACAGGATCAAACCGTACACATATCTGACTTCTCACAGGAACGTGAAAAGAGGAAGACTATGAAAGTCCATGAGAAAACTACTTATTCCACAAAAATGAAGGCAAAAAGCAGTTTGAGAAAAACTTTGAAAAGGGAGGAAGAAGAGGAAGGCAGAAAAGAGGCGACATGTGAAGAGAGACTGAAAGTTCTTCAGGAGCTGCTCTCACGGAAGTTAGGCATGAAAAAAGGTGAGGACCAGGCTCTGTCTTTGCAGAGGTGCTGGGTAACAGCCTAAAGCAAAGGCCAAAGAGGGGATGGGTGGAGCAGCTGGCTCTGGCTGACTTTGGTGAGGTCATGCAGACAGACAGACAGTTCTGTGCTCTATCTTGCCCACCTCTGTGTGGCAGAGCCATCTCCAGCTCAGGCATTTACACACAGAGCCATTTACATGGGCCACCCGTCACAGTGGCCTGGCTTCCACCAGCCTTGCAGCAGCTGAGCTGATAGCCAGCTGAGGTTTTGCAGGATCTTTTATAGTGGAAACCTTTATACTAAGCCAACCTAAAGTTGGCTTCTAATGGATACTTTCTGCCTCTGACATGAGTAGATTTGCCATTAATGTATAGAGGACAAGGACCAGATTCTCCACTCCATTCTCCCTGGTTTTACTCCATGAAAACCCACATGAAACTGATCCTAAACAAGGTTATAACTATAATACAATAATCAGTATTGCTGACTCCAGCACCAGCCAGATCCATGCTCGTGCCAGCCTATATATTAATTGTGTTTCTTGCGTTGGCCACATTTCTGCCTCTCTCGTCTAAGCAACCTTATATTCTAATTTCAGATTATGCATTAGACAGGGAGACCTTCCATGGCTACCTACAGGACAGAAAACAGATCTTTTTTCTTGAGGTATATGGTTTTCAGCATGTTACTTTCTGTTCATTTAATTCCTCTTCCCTGTGTTGCTTTGTTTTGATGCTTACTCTCCCGAGATCCACTGCCTAGAGATCTTTCCAAGGTGGCACACACCGGACCTCATGAACTGACTGTCCAAGTCCTGTGTTACAGTCATTCAGAATCTGTAGCCAAGTAATTCCCAGCCAAGAAATAAAGGAATGTAGATCATTCCCATCATTCAGTAGCCACCATGAAACTATTCCATTTGTGAGATGCACAGATACACTGACCTTTGGCTCCTGCTGTCCTATACATAAATTGTAGCTGAAGAAGCCATTCTGAACTCAAAATAAGGGAGTGGAGTAACTGTGGTCAAATATTCCCATTAGCCATCTCTGTTACTGTGCTGTAACACAACTGAATCAGTCTTGGTCAGCCAGGAGTTAATGCAGAGCTGGGACTTCTGAATTCTGTCTTTAGATTCACTGCTTATTTGCTATGTTCCTTCTGATATAACTCCTGGCCTCCATATACCTGGCTGGCACAAAGTCACACACCTGGGTTTGAAATCCTTACCCTCTCTGCCCACAACTATCAGGTAATTTGGTAGCCAGGTACAAAGCTAAACCAATGTGCCTTTAAAACCAACCAACTGATGTGGCTGTGTTGCCTTTGGGGTTCATTTCAGCATGCCATTGCAGTAAAGCGAGGGGAGATTGAAAAGATGGAGAACATAGCAAAGAATGAGGAAAAAAAACTGGAAAAGGCTGAGAGAAGAATGGAGAAGGATGCTGCCATGTTTGATGAGTTCCTGAAGGAGAACCATAATAGCTCTGTGGAAGCGCTGAGAATGTAAGGAACATTGAAAGAACCACCTGTGTGCTATTTCATTCTGGGCACAGGAGATTTGCTGCTTGACCTCCCTGCAGGGTTTTGGCTGAACACTCTGAGTTTCCCAGAGTTACAGTTCTGGTGGCACTTTCTTCCCACATATTCAATAAAAGAGGAAGGAGAACAACATCCAGGGAATGCCCTCATTGCAAAAGCCCTTGATCTGGTAGCAGCAAGGAACCTGCTGGTGGCTCCACCACTTCCATTCTTCTCACAACACCCTTTACTGGAGGGAGATGTCTACCCAACCCCTCACAGCCCCCTCAGTGAAGCAAATTGAGCACTTTGGCCCATTGCATCACAAGGGCAGAGCTGCAACTGATGCTCAGTAGCAGCCAAATTAGGGAGGCCCAAACACTGGGATGCTCTACTTTTCTAAGAGTCTTCAGGCAGGAGCCAAGCATCTCCTGGGATACATCTGTAACACAGATTTCTAGGGCTCATATCACACCTATTTCACTGTTACTAGCCACTTCAATTCACTACTCCCTACTAGATTGTTTAATGGCTTGTTTGTACATCCTTTCCTAGAGCCAAAAGAGAAACCTCAGCAAAGACAAAGAAAATAACAGAGATCCAGAGAATCACTACTGAAATAAAGAAAATACAAAGGTAACATTGCTCATTATTCCTGCCTCACCTTTAACAGCCCCTACAGTGCTATAACTTCACAGTCCTTACAGGGGATAGATTTTGAAAAATGTTCCATTTTGAGAGTCAAAATGTTTTGGCTTTTGTTTTCCAGATGCTGCCTTTGTTTCTAAAACTCATCTAGTTTTCTAATGACATTTTAAAAAAAGTATAAATGTTCCAAATCCAAAGTTAAATGCCTAACATGAGATTAAAATCCAAACAAAACTAAGTAATGCATTTTAATGGGGATCTAACTATAATTACCGTTACGAGTTGAGCTGGAAAAATTTCTCATTCCTTTTCAAGTAAAAATTCAAAAATTAGCCAGCTCAGTACCATAGCAAGAGATGTGACCAGGGAATATGACTGATTCTGAGTTTCCACATGAGAAACCACAGAGAGCACAGAGGGCAGGTTCCCTTTTGCCTTTGCATGTCCATGAAAACATGTGCCCTCTCTCCCTTTCTCTGGATGAAACTCAATTATCAAGAGTGAGAAAGAACCTGTTCAAACAGGAGCTTCCCTCCCTGCTAACAAACTTTGTCCACTTCTCTCAACCCAGTGATATCTCCAGATTCAAGGACACTCTGCAGGATTACAAGATGTACCGGGACATCCTCTACCAGCTATCTCCAAAAGAGTGGCAGGAGGAACACAGAAAAAAGCACAAAAAAGAAAAGGATATGAAAACAGAATCCAAAATTAAAGGAAGTGCTTCACCTGCCCCCACTGCAGAGCAGGGTGAGTGCCAGGAAAGTGCTGCTGCTCCCCCCTGGGACAGCCCCAGGCTCTAAGTGGATGCCTCCTCTTGTCTCCAGACCAGGATCAGACAGCCAGGACAAACACTGCCCATAGCACCAGTTTTATGGATATGCCAAGTTCCCTGCTGTTCTCAGAAAGTTTGGATTTCAGGTCACGTGATGTCAGGCCACAGCTTAAACACTTCCTGAAGCCTCTTTTATCAAGAGACCTGTAAGTACCAGATGATGTAAACAACAGACTTAAGGACTGTAAAGAGCACTCAGCTGACTGGGGATCAGCACAGGGAAATCCTACTGCTCACCTTTGCTGGGCATTCCAAGATCTGGGGCTTACTGGAACAAAGTCAGATACCAGCAAAAAGCTGTCAGGTACAAGTCAGTACCTGCTCCAAGTGAGCTCCACCCTCAAATCCTCTGCTGAGAGCCTGCCCCAAGTGGGGCAGTCACTAAGATGATGCAAACAGAGGTTTTTACCCTTCATAGCACAGGGTGACAGGTACAAGTAAAAGTGATGAGCAGACTGAGCTGCCAACAGCAACAAGGCACCAGTTCTCCCTCTTCCAGCTCTTGTGTAGAGGGAGAAGCATTCAACAAAGTCTCCCAGTGAGTTTAAAGGCATCTGGATCAACACCCTCAGTTCAGGTTCTTGTGTCATGTTCCAGCCCCACAGGAACAGCAGCACAGCCCAGAGCAGCACAAAAGGCAGCAGGCTCATGGACACAAGTGGCTCCTGTGCTGCTTGCTCGTGTGACCCCTAGACCTTCCTGACCCCCAAATAAGCCACAGGGAGGCAAAGGTGTGAACGTGCAAAGGACTGGTCAGGACTAAACAAAGACAGTGAACAGTAACAATGTTCATATGTCACTAATGAGATTACTTCTGAGCTGTCATTTCTGTAAGGGCCTAACACACAAAATACTTTTTCAGAAGTTCATTGGAGGATGCAGAGAGTGAAAGCAGCTCGGATGAAGATGAGGTCAGAAGTCTTATGTTGAAATAGTTGCATTTTCTGATTGTCCTGTGTCATTTATCAGTACTACTAATTTCCCTCACCTTCTAACCATTAGTTACAGTATTGAGGAATGTTTGTACGATCATAAATGTTCACATTTTGGCAACACATTATAAATACCTTAGTTTAACTTTCCTCCTTCAGTTTCCAAAAACCTACCATCATCTCTAAACTTGTCATCCTCCAGTGAGATATGACATCATAAAATGAAGGAGTCTTAAATTAGTGCAGTTACTGGCTTATGTCTGAAATTGAAGTCTTCCCACTCACAGACATTTGCAACAATTTTTACCCCTCAAAATGCAATTTGTTTTGGGGGTGAGCTATTGAGGCAGAATTAAGCTACACACTTAGCAGGAAGGATGTCCATGTACGTTTTTACAGGGACAAATGTGGACCTCTCTAGGTGGAAGAGGGTTTGAACAGCCAGGGCTGGTGCAGACCAACCTCCCTATAGTTCAGTGGAACAGAAGCTAGAGGAGAGAAAAAACTCATCACACGTGTTTTCCACTGTAGGAGCCTGAGCTCTACTTTACTGATCCTGAACAACTGCTGGTTACTTTCATGGAGATGCTGGATGAGAACTTATCCTTCATGCTGAACTCCCAGGATATTGCAGAGAGTTGGAACAAGGTCCAACAGACTTTCATCACCACACGTGAAAACATGTAAGTGTGACCCTTCAAGTGATGGGAAGGGGTCCCTGTGCTCCAAGTTTCAGACATAAGTGACCCCTCTGCCCCCACAGACACCTCACTGTCAGGCAGACACCACAGAGCACACGTAATGCTGTTCACACAGCAGGGTCTTTCTTGTGAGCTCCTGGGAAAGGGTCCCATATAGGCTTAGCTTAGGAGATGAGACTTGAGCTTGGAACTAATTCCTTAGTCCTCAAGACACAGACTAGGGAATGATGCATTAAGCATCCTGGAGTGAATATAGGTATAGTGTAATTCTCATGAAGGAAGACCAAAGAAAGAAACAAGGCAATTCCTGGAGTGATGCAGAGCAGCACCAATGCTGACTCAGTGCAAAACTCTCCTAGAGAAAGACAGCAGGGAACCAAAGTGTCATTATAATCCAGAATTTCAGTGGCAGGTAGACAGATATATTCCCATTTAAAATGTATCTTATTTCCTTGTGGAAGTTTTAAAGGTAATCTGGATCCCCCACTGACTTAATAAAAACTTGGAATGTTTAGCGATGCTACTTCTTCCTCCCCCACACCAGCCCAGTAACTGCTTTTGTAGAAAAAAACCCCGAAGCTCCCTGTGCTTTCAGGGCTGTGGGTGCAAGGAAAGGCTGAAGTGTTACCTCCATCTGCCGGCAGCACGAGGGACCAGCCCAGGCTGCAGAGAGCAGAGCTGTGTGTTCCAGAGGTGCCCTTCCCAAACACCTCCTCTCCCTCTCTCTCCCCTAGGGAGAAGGAGTTGGCAGAGCTGAAAGAGCAGGTGAACACCCTCCAAGCCTCCGTTGACAAGGAAGAAGAGAAAGCAGCCGACCTGAAGCTCAAAGTTCAGCACTTTTCCTCTGGAGAACACGAAGCTGACTACCAGGTACACGCTGGGATCCAGCAAGGGGGGTTCACACGTGCACAAGGGGTTCCTCTCCACCAGCCACATCCATCCCAGGAACAGAGCAGACAGGGCTTGCACTGAGCAGGGATCAGCACTGTTTCCCAGCAATGCAGCTATAGCAAGGCTGGTTTGGCAGCAAACTGGGGCAAACATATGTGCTCTGTGCAGCTGCTGCAAGGTGGGAGCAGGGCTCACAGAGACAGCTGGGCAGCTGCCACCTGACCCAGGTCACAGCCAAGCTGGGAAGATGAGACCAACAGGAGAATGCACAATTCAGCCATCTGTCCCTGCCACTGTCTTTAGCCAACCAGGAGACAAGCAATTGAGTCTTATTGAGCGGATTAAAGTATTTCCTTTACAGATTTGCTTTGGTTTTGGAGGGATATTATGGTTCTACTTGGCAGAACCCAGCTGTGCCACTCACCGCATCTCCTGTCACCTATAGGACAAAATGCTCACAAGCCTGAACAAGAAGGTGCTGGAAGTCTATGTCCACTGCACTGGAGACAATGAGACAAACCTGCCAACAGTAGAGATGTTAAAGGTAATAGAAAAACAGCTCAACGATTTACTGGACAGTGTGGAGAGAATCCCACCAGCAAGGATAGAAAAGGCTGTGAAAGCCATAAGAAAGGAACAGAGGGCAAGGTAAGGCAAGACCCTCTTCTGGAAAACATCTCTATTTTAAGTGTTGACAGCTGAAAGAGCCAAATCAACCTAAAAAACTGTAGCAGCAATCTGAAATCCCATATGAGCAATCCATCCCATTTTACTTCTTGCATTTCCTTGTCAATAAGCAGCAGCCCACAGCTACATTAGAAAAGACCTGCAAACTATGGTAGAAAAATCTAGAAGAATAAAAAACACTAAACCCACAAACAAAAACAGATTCCATGATGAGATTCATCACTTTAAGAAAACAATTTACAATAACAAAATTTAAACAGAATAAATAATAAATTAAATCTCAAGTTAACACAGTCTGCCTTGCCCTGATATTTTGTCAGACTTTAATATGTACATAAGTTGTCAACAACTCCAGCTTTGAAATGTTTCTTCTACAAAACTTTTAAGTTTAACTTGTATTACTAGATAAAATAGTAACAATTAACTCAATCAAAAGTGCAAGTCTCAAGATGAGACACATTCCTGTAGGCACAGATACACAAAATTTTACCTCACAAGTAACAAAGATAATCAACTGATAACTGTATCTGGCCATCCTCAAGTGAATCAGACAGATTAGCATAAGGATTTAAAGCCAGAACAGTGACATTTTGCTTCTGTTATTCTCTTTCTCTGCATCTTTATTCAGCTGTGTAGTAGAAAAGGTATGGTGCATCTTCCTGATGTTCTCTGAATGGGTTTGCACTCTTAAATTGCAAAATAAGTAAGACACACATGGGGATGGAGGAGAATAATTCAAGAAAGATACCACATACCCTACTCCCAAATAAAAATCAAAAACAATAATAAAAAGAAAACACCCAAAACCAAAAAACAAAACAAAAAAACACACACAAAAACAAACCACACCAACAAAACTAAAACACAACAAACACTACAAAGAGCATTAAATGTTTTCCTCAAGTTTGCACGGTTAAGACTGCAGTTCCTCTGCACCAGTGTTCCATAGCTTGAGCCCATTTCTGTTCCAGCACTTCATTTTCATAGGGAACTGGAGCAACAGTATTGGCCTCCACTGTGCCCCTGTGGGCCAAGTGTAGCTCCATGGGTGTAAGAGCCTGCTGCTCACACCCGTGTGTTAGACCTGGGGATACAACAGGTATCCTCCCTCCCCACAGCTGGTGAGCATCCTGGTCAACTCTAGGGCGTAAGTCACCTGCTGAAGGGGGTGCAGAGCATGTCTGACAGAACAGCTGTCTGACATCTCTGTGCCAAAGCCTGACAGGCTTTTTCTACCCATCACACCAGAAAGAGTAGGATCAACTGCAGGCAGTGCTTCCCTCTTACCCCCTTCACAGCAACCAACTCCAGCAGCAGGTGTACCCAAACCCCTGTCTCCAACAGTTAGATGTAAGGTGTGATGTAAGATGTTATCTTAGATGTTGATGCTGTGTGTCAAAAGCACAGCTGATGTAGCTGCATGTTGCATTTAACCCATCCTTTATTCTCTCTTCAAAAGGCTGAGAGAGGAAAAGCAGAAACAAGCAAAGCAGCAGCAGGATGAAGGATTGAAAAGGGACATGGAAAGATCACAAGAAGAAAAAAAGGTAAGTGCAGTGGTCTGTGGAAATATCTCACCTCAGCAGCTCACTTTGGAGAAGCTGAGGATACCTAAATATCAAGTGTTTGAGGGAGAAGTTTTATTAAGGGGCCTCTGCAGCTTTGTGAGGATGGCATCTACAGCCAGGTGTAGCCCAATCTACAGGAGTGATGTAACTTAAGCCACTGCTGGGAAGCCAGTCACTTTTTTTTATTCCAGCTCAGTGTCCTTCCACCATCCTTCTCTCAACCACACAGCCCCCTCCACTACTTGCCAGCTCTCAGTAAGCTTATTTAAACTCTTTAACTTAGTTGTATTAAACCAAGCATGAAAATTGGCAAATGAGGAACTGGGCAGTGGCAGGACACTCCTGATAACAGCAGCAAGGCCCTAGATCAGCTCAGCCATACCATCAAACTACAGCTTTTCTGGCATGTTCCATATCCTCCCAAACTGAGCTCTGGGCCCTTGGGAGGCTCAATGCAGAGCTTCTGCCATGGCTTCTGCTGCATCTTCCCCAGGCCAACACAGCTGTGAGGAGACCCCGGTTGTGTCACAGTGACAGCACAGGTGCCATGAGAGCAGGGGCCACGAATCCCTGCCCCTTTAGCCAAGAGAAAATAGAGGGCACTGTAGCCTCCAATATTCCTTTGGATCTCCAGCTTTCCCTCCTCTTCCTGACACAGGACTAATGAGGCTTTAGTCAGAAAGCAGTTGTAGGTACAACAGTGAGTTGTAGAAGCTGAAGCAGGAGCACACAGACAGCCTTCAGGCGCTTGACATTCACTTTCCAATACAGAAAGCACACTCAGCAGCCAGCCTGCAGCCTGCCTAGAGCACAGGGCATGGGCCACAGCCCCTCCCAGCCTGGCAGCACAGAGCAGCTTTAGCTGCCTGCTCAGACACCCTACTGAGCACTGACGCAGCACCTCTTCCTCTGCAGAACTTCAAGACCATGGCCTTGCCTTCCAACCCAACTGCCAGGAAGGAGAACAGCCAAGGAAAAAGATAAAAAGGAAGAACAATCGTATTATTTCTCCCGATGGCATAGCCTTAACCACAGCTCATAGGGCTGATGATGCAGTCTTTTGTAGATCTACATTCTGTCAGTCTTTGTTCAGCTGAACTTTACTGTCCCACGAAATTTCCTGCTTCTCCTACCCTAAGATTCCAGGGAAAGTTTGCAACCCCTTTTCCCCTCCTTAGGTATTTTGCTTAAGAAAATAAATAAAAAATCTCTCATTTTGCTTCTCAAGCTCCTGCTAAGCACCAATGCTTTTCTCATTCAGTTTTTGATGCAAATAGCACTATGCCTACAAGCCTGAACAGTGAGATCTCTGAGAGTTCTAGGTGACAATCTTTGTTAAGGCACAACTAAGCCAGGTACCTCACAGACATCTGTGATACTCATAGGTCTTCTGAAGGACTGTAAAATCCAAGGACTATCCAATCCAAAGCCATTATTGACTTCACTCCGCTACAGGGGAGAAGACACAACCAAAGGAAAAGCACAAGCTCTCCACAGAAATCAAGCTGCCAGTAATTAGCTTTGTGTCAGATGCATCCATGCAAAGAACAATACCCAGTAACAAACTGACCATAAAAAAAAGCTTTATTAACCCTTTTGCACCAGCAGTTCTTCAGGTATCCATTGCCAGCAATGGAGCCCAAGCCAAGTGATCCAAGTTTCCGCCCTCAAGAGGTTAGCACTTTACATTCACTTACAAAGCTGAGTGAGGTACATTTTCAGAAGTAGAAAGATTTGGTTGCAAGTCCCATAAAAAGATGGAGTGCTCCTTGGCCATTTTAATAGATTACAAACTGGTATGGTCCTTGAGAACAGAATAATGCAGGCATTGGGAGCTCAAGGTGTCTCAGCTTCCAGGGAGAGCATGGTAAACACTAGAGCAAGACCCTTCAGCACAATTCCTCCTCAATCCTTCCACTTCTCAGGAGTGGACTCCAGGCTGCAGTCACAGCCACCAGGCAGATCTCAGCTACCAAGTCGTCTGAAAACCCAGCCTGAGAGGGTTCAGACTTTCCCTGGATGTAAGCTGTAAACTCAGAGTGAGAGGAACATAGAGACCTCAATGCTCAGTTAGGCTAAAGATAGAAAAATAAAGCTGGTTCAACCAGAGATATAATACTGCCTAAAAATCAGGAGCTGAAGTTCATTGTAACCTGTATGCTTTTTTCCTCCCCAAGTCTGCAATCAAAAAAGCATTTATATGGACACATACATAGTTCAAAAGGCACAGGAAGTAAAAGCATTTCTGAATGACCTCATGTGAATTTAACATCAGTATAACTGTAAAATAAATAAATATGTGCAAGTTTAAAAAGATCACAACGTTCTCCTCTGTGACATATCTCATTTTGTAAAAAAAAAAAAAGGTAAATACACATACGTGCATACACACACCTCACTGAGAATAAAAAAAAAAGTACAAACAGCCTTTTATCAAACTCCTATACATACTTTTACAGGCATTCAGAACATCACCATAGGAAACATTTAAATTACTACCTTAAAACATAACCAAAGGTGGTTTTTTTCCCTATACAACCCTTTACTTATTTAGGTGTATACCGGTAAGTAGAGTACATACAACCTCTCCCCCACCCCCAAGAGAAACTGCGGTTTTTCAGGGGCAAATGTTCCTGGGCAACAACTCTTTCCTCCTCACAAAATACTCTGACAACTGCATATTTTGTAAACCAGCCAGAAGCTCCAGGTATATGTGACACTCTGGGATAGCAATAAAGAACATGTGCTAACAGTGTTCAATTAGCAAAACAAAAACACTAAACAACCCTAAATAAAAAGGTAGTGACCAGTTCACAGGTAACTTGGCAGCGGTTTATAGATGAGATAAAAATCAAGGTGCTTAAATTTACATGACAGTCAACATTCCTCCCAAAAAAGGGAACACAAAGATAAAACAAACCTCTCTCAGATGCTGTTGGACTCTTAGCTAATCACTTACAGTGAGTACAGTTCTATTGCAGTTTTCTTTTTCAAGTTTTGCTGGAAGAATTCAGCAAAGTATTTGGGATGCAGGAGCAAGGAAAGGGAGAAACTCAACATGAGCTACAAACTGATTCACAGCTAAGTTAACATTTAGAATCTAGCTAAAACAAAGATTTTAGAGCATCTCATTTTCATGGCATAGAACATTAACTTTGTTACATGTGACACTTTATTCCAGTTTTCTGCCAAACACAAGGGCTGTAACAATCCTTTTTTTTGTGTGTTGAAAACACTTGCAAAATTTAGCTCTTAACTCCTTGATGCACTGGCTCCGGGAAGAGACCAATGGAAGGAAAGTTTTAACTTTCATAGGCAGGATTATAAATTTGCACTTGTTAGCTGTAGAATACTTGCTTTCCTGTGAAAACAGTAAATATTACCTCAGTTTGAAGTGTAATAAAGTACTTCTCCCTGAAACAACACTGTACAGCAGTCTGCCTCAGCCTCCCAACCACCAGGCAGACAGGGTATCTTACACAGGCACATCAAGTGGGATTTACATTTTTAAAGAAAATCTTTCACCTGCAACTGTCTTAAGCAAATCACAGAGTGCAACCATACTTCAGTTCTCCTACTTTTCATACTTTCCTTGGAAAAAGATCTACACAGTAATCTCACTCTGTCATGATTGCTCAACTTGTTTTCAAGTAACTGTTCATAATAATCATCATTCCAGGTCCTGTAAATTTATTGTGCTTCCAGTGAACTGAGAGTTATCAGAACCTGCATCATCTTCAGTGGAATTATGTGGTTCCTGTAAAAGGAAACAGACAGCATAAAGTACTTTCACCTCTAGACGGTTTCAGTGCTTATCAGCAAGATTTTCTTGACATTTATCCAACAGCAGAGAAATGCTTGGAATGGCTCAGAGGAAACCCAAAGCTTTTCCACTTCAGAGGTCTACCCAAACAGTGGAGATCTATCTACAGTTTTTCTATGGAACACTTCAGATAAGCATTACTAACGGAAATAGATTTAAAATCACTTTTTCCTCCATTAATTCCCTACCATGGCCAACAGTCCCACTCCTCTTGTACTTCTAGGTTTTGAGGAAGGTGTCCCTCCTTAATAAAAAATGTTTATTTTCTATCCAGGAGAAGGACACTTGGCAGGAATAGGTACACTGCAGAGTTTATAAAAAATGAGGTCCCCAAGCAGGCAGGCTTTTAAACATAACTGACACTCCTGTAAGGGTACCACTCTGAAATCTAGCTTCAAGATTCTGTTTCCTACTTCTCACCCCTTCCTGTAGCCTCCAACATTCCAATTCTGATTCTGTTTCTTGACCCACCTAGTATCTGCAGGATGGGATCAGGAAAACAAGGGTGGGGCGTTTCGGAAAAAAATAGTAACACTTGGTTATTCATTACTCAGCAACAGAGGGAAAAAAAAACAACCTCTGATGTGCCAAAAATTGGTAACAGACACAAGATAAATTGAGCAGTGCATCTCACTGCTTACTATTCCTTGTGAATGGAATTCAATCCCCAATGGAAAACAAGGTGTTTTCATCAGGCAAAACATGAGAGTGCTCATACTCTTTACTTTCAAGCAAGGCAATAAAAACCCAGTGGCTTGACATGCTGTACCTGAAGTATGTGAACAGGTAAATCCACTGTAAGCTGAGAATGTGATGAAGAAGACTGAGAGCTCAGCTGAAAGGGAAGATCTCCCTCTCCTGGGGAATCATCCTGTGAATGCAGAAACATGATGAAATTACACAACCCCTGGTATCTCAGCACAATATGGCAAATTTCACTCAGCCTCACAATCTTAAAATATCTGATAAAGCCACTGCACTGTACTAGTAAGGCCTAGCTCCACAAAGATGTGGGAAGCTAACTACAACTTAAATCTAAACCTAGCTCAATATACAGCATATTATCCTGTCCTCATCAACTTGGAACACTGGCAAGATCTGAACAGAAAGGCATGGTCCTCTTTCAACAAATCTAACACCCAGAAAGAAACACAATTTTCATCATGTCTTCATGAAGCTGATATTTAACATGAAATACCCATCAAAAAATAGATCCATGGAGAAATCTGCCCATAGGTCTCTCCACACCAGAGTTGCTAGGAATAAAGGAGAAGGAATTTACCCTTTCTCTGAATACTACACAGATACACCTGGCAAAAAAACATATTATCTGCCATGCTCCATTAATCAGTGCCCACCAATTATTAGGTTGTTTTGTTGTTGTTTTTTTTTAATTTTAAGCTTTATTTCATTGGATAAGAGAAATAACAGTTTAGGCTGAAACTTCTTTTTGCAGAAACATTTTCATGTCAATCTCATTTACTTTGTAAACAAGGCATGGAATAATGTAAGAATACTGCACAGCTCAAGACCCCATGCAGGGACAGTAGTACCTGAGTTCACAAACACTCAAATTCTTCCATAAATGCAAGTCTGGATAACAGAGAAGTTGAGCACATTTTTTTTTTCTCCTCAGCTCTTACCTGAAGAAGCTGAATTTGCACATACTGGGCTCCAGTGGCAGGGTCCCTTATTGTCAGCCCTCCATTTGGCAGAACTATGTTACCACCCACTCGACTGCCAGGAGCAGATGAAGAAAAGTTGGTAGGGCTTACTTTACCACCCTTGTTTTTCCTCTGCCCAGAGCCAGATGCCCCTAAAAGAAAGCAGTTTTAATATTTAGATGGTCAGGAAGAATTTGCCAAAGTTTTCTGCCAGTATTTTTCAACTTTTAGCAGCTGTATGTACCACACAGCAAATGCCCACAACAGTGCAACATAATTAAGCACCATCTAACATCTCTGGCTAAAAGGCCAGAGAACACTCAGTTGGTGAACTCCAGCTGCTGACTGAGCACCTTCTTACACAAACACCATTAAAAAATCACTGCTAAGCTTAGGGCCCTCCCCTGTGGTAGCACAGAAATATCAGCCTATTTGTGGCGTTAGAGAAAGGAACTAGGAAGTAGGATTGCATTTTCTATTTTTCATTTTGCAACTCA